ATCTTGATATTTAATACTTTTAAAAAGACTGAAAATCTATTTAAGATTCAAGAGAATATGCCTTAAAGACCTATAAAGATAGTAAAATAATAAATAATATATAATTGTCTTTTTTCTTCTGTCCTATTAGCAATAGAAAGTAGCAACAGGTTGATATTTCCATTAAAGAGTCCTAACTGTCCATGTGTAGATGTACATGACTGTGCATGTAATGGGTGTCCAGGGAAGCTTCTTTTTGTCCTGTATAAGTCATATAAAATACCATATCTTCATTTTTCCTGTCTAGTAGACACTTACTTTCTTGGTGTTACAATTGCTCCTGTATGTGACCTGTGCTCCAGAAATATTTGAGTAGAGTTCACTGAAGATTTTGTAGAAGAAACGGAAGATTTAGCATGATATTCTTCAAGAACTAGTCACAGAAACATACTTTAGTGGTGAAAATGTTTTCAGCCTGAGTTTGGGCTGCATGTCTAGCATGTTCTTGCTGCCTTTCACTGGGTACTAAGTACTCTCTGTTTCAGGTCCTTCCTTGAGGAGTTACTGTATCTTTGTAGGAGCGGTACTGAATTTACTATTTTTCCCCTGGATGGGAAATAGTTTATCTCCCTTGATTCTTCTGAATTTCAAATTCTAATTCCTGAGAAATCATGGAATATTCTCCAGCTGCTCTAGTCTGCTACAGTTTTGCATGTTCAATAGGCTTTTATAAAATGTGTTTTCTGCTTTACAGTGTCTATGCATTTTTTTTCTTTAACCAAAAGAAGTAAGGTGCTTATTACCACATGGTCATGTTTTTGTTACATTTGTGACTGTCTCCGTCAAATTTTTGTTGCTTTAACAAATACTTGAAAGGAAAGGGGAAACTCCAAGGGAAGGAATTTATTCTATGTCCCTACCCCCCAACCCAGAGGCTCATGACCACCTCATAATGTGAAATGCATTTGTCTGTCTCTGAAAATTTCCAAAGTCCTAACAGTCCCAACATTATTCAAAAGGCCTATTTCCATTCCATCTTTTCCACCCTCACCTTCACAATTTGCCTTCTCAAGGACTGCCTATACAATTCTTCCTGGCTCTGCCACACATTGGCCTCCCAGGCCTTCCTCTGAAATCTGGGTAGAATCTTCCATGATCCTTGACCTCTTGTATTCTGCATACCTGCAAAATTAGAATCATGTGGACATCAAGAACTGACAGCAGCTTGAGTCACTGGCACCATGGCAGCTATGCCTGAGAATGTCTGAGCTGCCGGATACACACAGAGCAGCTTCCCTGTGCTCCAAGAGGCACTGGAGCTTTCTTTCCAGAACAGTCTTTCAAATGAGTTGATACTTTGATGCTCCTGAGCTTCCCAGTGGGTGGCCAATTCCTCAGATGCCCCCAAGGCATCCTTTCTATTTTCTAGATGCAAAATACATAGCTTCTTTTTATTTATTTATTTATTTATTTATTTATTTATTTATTTATTTAGTGTGTGTGTGTGTGTGTGCATGTGTGTGTGTATGAGTGTGTGGGGGGGTGTATATACATGCGTGTTTGTAGGTACATGTGCCTATTGCCTCTGCCTTATTCCTGGATCTGGAGCTGCATCCTGGTGGCCAGCAAGCCTAGATCCTTCTGTCTCCATCGCTGACAGCACTGTGTTTCAAATTCAGGTCTTTATGGTTGCACAGCAAGTGCTATTACCCACTGAGCCATTTCTCCAGGCTGCTGCTCTTTTTATGACTCTTTTTACTTCTTTGACCCCAGCTTTATATTGATGTTCCTAACCACACTGGAAGCTTTTCAAGTCTTTTTGCTCTGCTTTTTGCTTCAGGTTCTCACTGTAAGCCTGCTAAGTATAGCCAGTGATAGCCGTGACACAGCTTGAATGCTGGACTGTCTTGAAATTTCCTCTACCAGATTAGTCCATTACCTTTAAATTTAGTCTTCTGTAGTCTCAGAACAGAAACAATATATGCAAATTCTTTGCCAAAATGTAAAACTAATGGCCTTTAGTTTGCCCGAAATGAGTCCTTCTTTCCATATAAAACTTATGAGCGCAGCCTTTACTGTCCACATTTCTATTAGCATTCTGGTATTTTGCGCTCCCATCAGAAATGTACTCTTTGTTTATAGCATGCTAGGATTTCTCTAGCTCACTTATCAGCCGATGGTCAAGTTTAGTCACAGGAATGACCCTACTTCTGTAATTCTAATTTTCTGCATTGGTTTCATTACTGCTTGTGATCAAATGCAGTATAATGAAGAAGGGTTTATTTAATGATGAGACATTTTCAGTCCACCGTGGATTCAGTGGGCGCATATCTTTTTTTATTTTTTATATTTTGAGAATTTCATACATGAGTACTCTCTATCATCTGAGAATCCAGTTGCTAGTGAAGAGTAAGCAACATCTGTATTTGCTTTAATTCCTTTGTTCCTCCATTTTCCAGGTACCACATTCCAAATATAATCCCTTTATACAACTTCTCTTTTCACCCAAATTGTGACTCACAACAAAAGTAATGGTGAGGGGATATCCTCGACTTCTTGTTCAGTCAGGTTCAGTTTTTCTAGTTATGCTGCAACATCTTATATTATGACGTATTACTAAGAAATTGTCAATCTTTCTACCAAGATGATTTTCATATTAACTGGACTCAACGCTTCTATTCAGTTCATTGACACTTACAAGGTACATTTTGCCCCACAACAAGCACAACCCATTTTCTGCCTTTATCTGAAAACTAAGATTTTTCAAACGTTCACACACTTCCTCTCACAATCATACTAACATTGACTTTCCTGGCTCCAAGATACCAATATCTATTTATAGCCTATTTTTTGTTTCACTTGTATGACTATCCATACATACGTGTGTGTGTGTGTGAGTGTGTGTGTGTGTGTGTGTGTGTGTGTGTGTGTTTTACCATACAGGCTATATTTCTTTTCCTTTCCCTATATGAACATACCTCCTGATTTCTTGCCTACTAACTTACATGAGTCTGTTATTGCTCTCTAGAATACTCTTTCCCCTATATATTATTTAACCAGAGAACACTTTTGGAGTATGATTTTTAATGTGTCCAAATTTATAACTGTTCTTATATGTATTTTGTCCAAGTAGAAGGTTTATGGTTTTATTCATATTCTCAGGAGTTCTCATCTAGTAGTCCAGTAGGACAAAGAAACACCAAAATTCTAAAGGTCCAAGGCCTCCTAGATAGTCAGTATCTGTCCCTGGGGATGCAGTATGACCTGTGTTTCTCCTTGCTCCTTTACTGCCTTTCCCAAAGCTCCTCACTAATTGGCCAGTGGGGGCCAGGAGACCAGCTTAGTACAAGGGCCTGGGTGCAATCTGCAGCGTCTAAGTACAGAAATAAAACAAAACCAGAGGTAGCTAGAAAGGACAACCTGACAACCTGGCCTTCTAGGGAGTCAGCTGGAAGCCTGGCACCACCACAGTAGCAACCTCAGTGCACAAGCAGATCTGTAAGAAAACAAAGTGCTGCTTTACCTGGGGAAGTTTCTGCTTCACAACCACAGTAAGAGTTGCTCCCTGAATGTGGTCCAGCTTTTACACTTCTGATCAGTTTGACCTGTCACTTGTTACAAAATATGAATCAGTCTGCATTTGTTTATTAGAATGAAATCTCACCTCAAATTTTCCACTCTCAAACTTTAAGAAAATTGTATATATTTTAGCAAATTGCAATTTTGAGCAAATTCACCTCAGAAGTTATCTTTTCAGCTGGTTTCTATGTTTATCCTTTTGTCTCTAAAAACAATAGCACTTATTGATTCACTTCTAGTAGATATAATACCAAGGTTCTGTACTTTAGTGTTTTAGTAAAACTGTTGGTTTACTTATTACATTTACATTCCTTATTCTAAAACACAATTCTTTATTTCACTTACATAATATCACCTTCTTCTATTTATTTTCAGTTTTAATAACAAACTCTGTTAATATTTCATCTGGTAGAGAGAATGTTTTAGAAGCCAGCTTACTAGTTTTGTGATCTGAAAAACAGTTACTATAGAATAAACACATACATTTTTATGAATTAAAAACTGATTATGCTGAATTGTTGGTGTATTCAGAGTGATAAAAATAATAATTTATTTTCTGATGCATAATGTGATTCTTAATTACTGCATATTTTACTATAGCTCACTTCCCAAATGCACCCCCATATCTGGTGCCTGTTTTAATGGACTGTGGGGAGTACAGAGAGCTGAAAGATAGATATCTGACATGGAGGTTATCAGAAGCGCCTCATATTTGTCATTGGTAGCTGCTGCTTAAGTAAAATTTTGTGACTGACCATAGTATGCTGGTGAGATTACATGGAATACAGTTAATTCTGTACTAGTCCCTTTTCTTTGTGGCCTCTGAATTACTTTCTCTTCTACATACCTCTTCTGCTGTCATTTCTAATATTTCTTCATCATCACCATGCCTTAAAATGTAGACACCAAAGATACATCTGAATGTTCATTGAGTGACCCTCACTGTCCAAATTTTAATACAAGTAAAAGAGAGATCTATAGATCTAGCAACTTTAAAGCATAATGAAACAATTTTGTAGCTTGCATTAAAATACTAATGCATATTAAATTCAGAGTCTGTTTTATGATTTTATTTTATGACAGAATAGAACAAATGTTAGATAATCTTTAGGTGGGAGACTATCCTGCATCTTGAACTATGCAAGTAAAGAATATTTTCTTGTGATGACACCAGTCAACTAGGGTTCTTGCTCCTTGGGTCTCCATACTGATTATAATTATAAAATGTTCAAAAGGTTTACTTTTGTAACTCAGCTTAATATTACTGTGCATACTTTTATTCTCTAGGGATGGGGAAGCTTGGGGAAAAACATATAGCTATTCATTAGACATCATTGAAGAAGAAATTAAACCTTAAGGAATCTATCAAAAAGTCTCTGGTTAGCCTTTTATTACTATCTTGTCTTGAGCCCTTTTTTTTTTTTAATGACATCTATTATCAGATTGAAATGGCGATTGAGACGCTGCAAAAGTCTGACGGTCTGTCCACTCACAGAAGCTCTCTTCTCAACAGCCATGTAAGTTGCCTCTTCATGTAAACTAATCTCTTGCTTGTTCTGCATGTGTTGCTTGCTTCTAAATGCTTGTTTTATTTATTTACTCATTTGTTTTGCTCCTTAACCTTCCTTTCTCAAGTCTCTTCCAATCTCTAGTCATTTAATGCCTATTTTATACATCAAAATATCTCAAAATATAACCATAATGTACTACTTAATTAGGTTTTTGTATATTTTTGCTATATATTCCATTTTTAAAAATTAATGACAAGATATCATGTATTTCTAAAAAGTGATTAATAGTGATTTATATATTTAAAGATTTTTAGTGAGATACTTGTTTCTACTGAAACAGAACTTGGTAGTGCACCCCTCTGTCTGAGACATAGAAACAGCTATGTCCATTGTGACTGGTGTAATTCTTTAAGTGGATTAGTGATCACTAATGCCAAAAGCAGTGATAAGCCATTTAAAATTCGTTTATTTATCAGTGATACTATGTAGATAGGTCATAGTCATGAGTGAACTCAGGGCCTAAAACATGAAGAGAAATGAAAATGAGCCAAAAGAAATCAAAGCTGTAGATAAGCGCTAAGTTGCTAATGACTGAGGCCGGCAAAGTGGCCAGCACTGCTTCTTGAAGCTCTCGCTGTTACGAGGTGCAGCGTCACTATGACACTGGTAAGTTTTGTGAGGTAAACATTTTCATCCTCTTCAAATTTGAGAAGTCAATGAAGATGCTTATTAAAAATAGTCCTGTTAAGATGGTTTCTGACTGTATGGTAAGGAGTGAATGGATTGGTGACAAGTATATTTTACATACATCTATCTGCTTAATTAGTATTTGTGACACTTTAGTAAGAATGAGAATTTTCCTTCCAAACTGACTTTAAAGTTTAGGAACATAATTATGTTTTCTTAATTCTCAATATTATGTGAATATATAAAATCAAGATTCCCCAAATGAAATAGTAATTTTTCAAAAATCGTAGTTTTTTTAAGTCCTATAGTTTATAAAAAAATGTTTCACTGTGAATTTTTATAAAAAGTATTTCAACTTTGAAACTTTTAGGATTTACATTCCAGAATAACACTGCTTCCCGGTATTCTAACATGCTTGTTTTTAGATCACATGTTTTGTCTAGTTCCTTTTTCAAGAGACTCCTGGCAAACATAAACATTTTAGTCAACTTGCAGAAGACCTGTAATTTTGGTGAAAACTATAGATATAAACTTTAAAATAAGATTATGTATTTCAATACCAATTTTGCAAAACAACTTGATTTCCATTTGTCACTCTTTTATTCATTTCTTAAAATGTCTTGCTAAGCCAGGCACAGTGGCTCATCATGCCTTTAATCCTAGTACACGGGAGGCAGAGGCAGGCAGATCTCTGTAAGATTATGGCCAGCCTGGTCTACGTTTTTGGCCAGCTGGGGAAACCCTGTCTCAAAAAAAAAAAAAAGTCCTGCATTATATTGGAATGATTCTGTGTCAGTGTTAAAGGCTATTTTCCTATATATTGTTAGGCTGTCTGGGAGTTTATGTATTGAAAATGTCAAGTACAGATGCTATTACTTTCAACCTGAAGTGTATGGCACATAAGGATTTTTAAAAAGAAATTGAAATTTCTATTTGCCCTTTTTAAACTTTCAGATTTCTCAGTTTTACTTGGACAGTCAATTCATATTTTACTTTTGAGATATGAAATATAGTATAATGTTTAATATGCTTAATTGTAACTTTAATCACCTATCTTTACTGGTATTTTTCATAAACAGTAATGTAGGTATAATTAACATGATTTTTAATTATTTCTTTGAATCTTTTCAAATATATTGGGTATTTTAAAAATTCTTTTTCTGAACCAGGTGTGGTGGTGCATGCCTTTAATCCCCCCCGCTCAGGAGGCAGAGACAGGTGGATCTCTGTGAGTTCAAGGCCAGCCTGGGTCTACATAGTGAGTTCAGGCCAGCTGGGGCTACAGGGAGCCCTGTCTCAAAAAAAAAATTTTTTTTTCTGATGTAGAATTGTGACCTAATATTCATTGTCAGTGACTGTGTAAAGGAAGTAACACAGACAGTAGACAGGGACTCATTCTTCCTTGACTTTGTGGGCTTTTTGTTACATAGTATGGCAAATCTTCTACACTGTTAAATCCCACCACTGACATTTCAGTATACAGGAAGAGTGGACACAAATGTTGCTAATGTGGGTTATCTCTGTTTCCTAGCTTGATTCATTTTTATTACACCTCTGAGGTCATCAAATCAATTCAAAACCACATTTATATTAAAGTATTTAACAATATGAATGATTTGTAACCAGAAGCAACAGATTGGTGGTTTTGCTTACACCTATTAAATTAGAGTCTCCTTGAACACAGAAGAAGATCCTGTTTTCTTGGGGAAGTTATGATGTTCCTAAGTTTTTAGTAGATTTTTCCCAACAACTGGAATAGAATGCTGCATAGTGCATGTCTTCTGATTGGACTACCTTCTAAAGTTATTTTCCATTTTGCAGACTTAGTTGGTTATTTTCTGTTGCATAGAAAATCCTGTTCATATTTTAAATGCCCATGAACTATGTTACTATTACCCATAACTAGATAGAATAAAATATAGAAATAGTTGAGGTTTGTTTTGAAGTAGACATGAGTTCAACTTTATGATGATTATTTCTCTGAACTGTCAGTTTCTACAAAAGATCAATTTCATTAGGAAGAAAATTAGGAAAAATTGATTATAATATATATGCCGTATTTGCTAATTTCTAAAGATGGGTGTTAATAATGACTTTTGAGCTTCATAGTCTCTTACTCTATTTCATGGCATATAATATAAATGAGTTCCCATTTTGTCTCTATGCAGTAATTTATTAACAGTACTTAAAAAACTCTATAATGAGGAGTAAAAACAGTAAATAATTTCTACTTTGTAGAGTCCAGCTTGAGTAGTTTGCTTTTCTTCTTTCCACACATTTGATGATAGGGGTTGTATATTAAATATTATATCCCATTCTCAGTATATTTTAAGAGTATTTTGTAGCACTAATCTAAATCTCTCATTTTCAATGCACGATTGTCATGCACATTAAAATACATATGCAGTCTATATTTTGTACAGTATACTATGCCCTGGCTATGGCTAGGAGAGTTTATGCTTCACAGAGTACTTTATTCTTTCAATAATATCAACCCAATATCAATTATGTTAGCACTAACATCATAGACAGTCAGTAAATATTTATAGACTAGTAAAAAATATCCAAGAGACTGAGGATTTTTATGATTTGTCAACTAAGGCAGCCCTAGTACCTAGATCAGTGCTGAAACATAGTGGATGTTCACTAAATATTTGCTAAATGAATGGATGTAAGAAGCACTGGAAGGAACTGACCTTATATTATGTCATATAGCCCTATAGTGTACTAGGATTCCTTTTCCACTTTTTGGATATTCTTCAGTAGGTGTATATGCATTGTTGATAAAGGGGTTCTTCTTGCATACTAGTGAAATGATGACTATATAATTACTCTATAATTTCCTACATGACACCTTTAGTTTGTGAGTAACTTTTTTGCATATCTAATCCTTTAAAAAGTTCTACCCATAGAGGATATTATTCACCTCTTTGTGCTTTAGATTGTACTTGGATTAATTTTGTAAAATTCTATTAGTACAACAATGTTATATGAATATTTTTAAAACTTTTTTATGTGAGACGCTATTAGTAAATTACATGAAGTCTGCCTAAGTCAAAAGAATATCCTAATTCTTTTTGATGTAGACTTAAGCTTCTTTTGTACTCCTCAAATTGTAATTAATACACATTTTCATTTAGTATATATTATGTCCAAATTGATATTCTTCCATTTCTGTGTTCATTTAAATTCTTATTAATAAGCAAATTATCCTATAAATATTTATATTAAACTGTATAAATATTACTCTCAAGCTTGTGTATTTATTAAATTCCATTTAAAGTATATAAAATCCTTTAGGCAATTTTTAAGCACTTTCTCATCTAGCAGACAATTGTTTTGTGGTTTTTACCAGCTTAAACTCATGAGATATATTTAGCTGAAAGCAAAGCATTGATTTTTATACATTCATCTTTGACCTTGCTATATTATAAATATTTTACATTATAAATAAGCCCTGTCAAAATGTAATAGCATCAGTACACTGAGCTTAAAGTGAAACCTAATGGGTAATAATCCAATTGGAGAATGTCCAATATTACATGTAGATGTTACTTGGGCAATGCATTAATTATTTAATTTCATTTGTCAATCAGTATTTCCCTTTAGGAAAAATAGGAACTATTCATCTTCTGTAATTAACATGCTGATTAATATAGATTAAATGCTGAGGTTGAAAGATACAATTATCATGGTTTCTGCCCTTAGAGAATATATGTTAGTTCATTAATAGAATAAGCAGGTTTTAGAGATAAAGGTTAAAAGATTCTATGGTAGTTTATAAACTTTAAGAATCATAAATGTAATCACTTTATAAAATATTTTATAAAAAGTATAGAATAAGAGAAACAGTTCTAAACTCTTTCTAAACTACTAAATGTTAAGGGTGTTGAATTCTTATATCCAGATACATTTTGTTAGAGACACAACCTCAGAAGATAATGTACCTTATAAGAGTTATTCTTTTCCTGTGAGTAGCACATGCGATGTTGCATAATTCTTTACATTATATTTAACCTTACACAGAAATGTAACCACTAAGTTTCTATAACAGTAAAATGCTATCTAATCCTCTGTCTTAGACTCAATGTCTGGTTTATAACCTCATCACTATTTCAAAATCAGAAAGTTAAATTCTAGTACATAGAATGGAGATTACATAGTCCAGCTGTATCTCCATATATTACCTGATATATTCTAAATCATACACTGCTTGTACAGCAAGCTTCTAGGAGATAGACCCCTTGGTGGTATAATAGTTGGCAGGCTTCCCTGTGTGGACTTGCATGGCTGGAGAACAATTGTTTCTACCCTTCCAGGGCTTTTACCTCCACTTGACCTCCCTCTTGCTCATTCCAAGTGCTCACTAGGCTTCTGACAAGGAATAAAGTACCTCCTCCTGATGACATGGAGGTGAAAACAAATTTAGCTTTGCTACTGTAAAAGTTATAGTCACCAGATAGTATGGAACTTCCAAACTACAAACATAAGCTATGTAATATATATGCATATACCTATTTTGTGTATATATATTTATGTATGTTTTATCAATCAAATTCAAGTCTTCAAAAACTGGTTTGAAAGTGAAATATTTTTGAGAATATAGACTATATATTAAAGGCAGTTTATGGTAGTAGCCTTCAAATACTTAGGTTTGCCTTTCAAATCCTTTCTTAAAATGTTCTAACTATAAGATAATTTCCTTAATTATGAGAAATGAATAAGATAACTTGGTTAGTTATTATTCTTTATTTTTAAGTGATCAGATGTTACAAGAATAGTATAAAATTATGGTAATATAAAGTTTTACATTTGTATGTCTAGTTTTTTATTTTCATGTCTGTCACATTCAAATATATTTATATTCAAGCCAGGAGTGGTGGTGCGTGCCTTGAATCCCAGCACTCAAGAGTCAGAGGCAGGTGGAGCTCTGTGAGATTAAGGCCAGCCTGGTCTACATAGCGAGTTCCAGGCCTGCTGGGGCTAAAGGCAGACCCTATCCAAAAAAACAAAACAAAAGAAATATTTACATTGCTATATTCTTACTTATGTGCTTCTAAATATAAAGTTCATATTATAAAATTAACTATGCTTCATTTCAGGAAAAAAATATCCTTTAACCTAAGATTTCCTATATAAATATATCACTTGCGCATTAGCAGAAGAAAGAATATTAAATGTTTTCTCTCTTTCTTGATCATGCTATTATGCTTTTAACAATGTGTATTATTTTATGATACTCTGTAGAAATACATATAAACATCGTTAGCATTTTTAGCTTACACATGTTGCATAATACATGTTTGTGGATATGTGAACTTTTCTTACATTATAAAAAAGAAAGTTAATTTTGTATGATCCTTTTAGAGTTTTATAGTGGAAGATTATATGTTACAATGATAAAACACATTTTAAGTGGGTGTATTCATATAGATATATGTTCCTTAGGGACCTTGAAATCTTCCTAAACATAACACAATTTTATTTTTATAAGGATCTTATATGCTTTGTGGCATGTTTTCTTAGCTATCAATCACTATGAGTTTGAAGATGTAAACTTAACTTTATAAGTATCATGTAGGAATATGTGAAGTTAAAATGTCTCTGGAAAATTCAGTAGTCATAGTTAAAAAGAATAATAAAAAATATTTTGATTTTCATGAAAAGTCTGGAAGTTCAGTTTCTAAGTTTCACCAAAAATCTTTAAAATAGATATGTAAAATGGAATGATGCTTCAATTTATTAAATGTCCAGATTTAGCATTTTACTAAATTCCCAGAGGACAGGTGGACTTACATTCACCTTTTGTTTATTTTACTTCTGTATTTCATACTTAACTCAAATTTCATATTTAGTGTTAACTCTTTATTACCCCACTTATGTTGTGGACATTTTGTTGAGATAGATGCATGAGATAGTTGCTGTTATGGTGGACTTAATGGTTTAGGAAACAAGTGTTAGAAACCAGGCTCAGACATTGAGATAATGTATGGCCTTAAGGAAATCATTTAAGTCTACTTCACATCTCCTTTTGTAAATAAGAAAATGAGTAAGTTGAAATTCAGTAATTACCTGGATGAGGCTTTTTAAATACATCCTAAATTTAAAGATTATTTCTCAAAAAATAGAGTGCAACTTAAAATTTTAAAATGTAAACTATAGACTGAGAAAATATTGTTTACTACCTACCACAGTAGTATGCCTTCCAATTTTTTGAAAAAAGAGAAAAACACAAGTTTGCAGTCGCAAATCAAGATGGTGCTAAAAATTATTGCTTTTCATTACATATAAATTTTTCATCAATATCTAGTGATTTTCCTTCTTTGGGGGGGAGGAATGAGTACATTTTGCATACAGGATATGTCCCAGTGTATAATGTTACTGTATTATCTAGTGGTAATTTGAGCTAAGTAAATTATTAATATAAAGCCTCATACAAGTCAACCTATTATTCATGCATTCTAACAAACCAACATAAAAGATATATTAGGTGCCATGTTGCCACACTTAGTAGCATACAATTATAAATGTATTTATGATCAGTTAATGATATTATTTTTAACTCCCTGAAAAATCACTTGTCTCCAAAACTGCAGTGAATATAGGGGAAATTAGTGTGTCTCTACTCATGCTTGAATGTTTGAAGAAAGAGTATTTCCTAAACTCCTAACTGTTGTTGTATTAGAAAGTCAGATGTGCCAGCCTCTGATTTATCACAGTTTATCTTAAGATTTGATGAAGAACTTCTAAGTCTTTGTACATATTGTATCCTGAGGAAATTATAGACAGTTTGGCAAATTATGCGAATTCTCTGAGTTTATTCTGTCTTATTCCTACCAGCTCCAGTGGTTGTTGGACAATTATGAGACAGCAGAAGGAGTGAGCCTTCCGAGAAGCACTCTGTACAACCACTATCTGCGACACTGTCAGGAGCACAAACTGGACCCAGTCAACGCTGCCTCTTTTGGAAAACTAATAAGGTCAATTTTTATGGGACTACGAACCAGGAGATTGGGCACTAGGTTAGTACTGAAAACCAATATCATAATCTAATCTCTCTTTTTCAAATTAGAGCAGTGTGATACATATACTGTTTAAGCAAAAAAGTACTTGACTACAGGTAATATGTGAGGAAAAAATACAGAATGAAGAAGAGTTTATAAACCACAAGAAAAGGGACATCATTATTCAGTGAAGACCAGCGAGTGTAAACAACGGATCTTAAAACCACGTAGAGATTAGAAGGCCAACCTGATAGGAAGGATTTGCCTGTGGTAATTTAGCAGTTATTACGTATCATTGTCATCTCTTTTTGAAAATAACCATACTAAACATAAATAAAATGACATAGTAAGTGGTAAACCATATACCTCTTGACTCTTGTTTTTTAAAAAAATGTTTTTATAAAAATTCTATTTGAATAGAAGATATAATTAAGGTTTGCTTCATAGTAAACCCCTTTACTTCATAGTTTTTGGGCTAGTAAAAGCATTTGGTAAACTTGCAAAATATGCAAATTTGAAGTCCTTGGTGATAGTTCTGTTTTACCTCTTACTAGCCCTTTATTTTTCTGCTCTAGTTATGAAAACATCCAAATGTGGGAATAAAAATGTGAGCAGATTCTATCAGACGAAACACTAATGTGAGAAAGAAACTTCCAATCTCTCGGGTTTTCTTCCTTTTTAAAATAAATGAATGTTTTTGATAATCAACTGTGAAGCTTCATTTTTGTTTCCTATAGCATTCACAAATTGAAAACCAGTATTTCAAGAAATTGGGAAGAAATATATGGATCTTTTGACTTTCCTAAATCATACAGAAATCACATAAAATAGAGATGCTATACTGTACATTAGGTGATATACCTTTATTTATAAATCACAATTTCAAAGAATTATACTAAATAATTTTTAATTCCCGTAAAAGAAGCACTACCGTATTAATTGACTTCAATACATATATATGCTAAAAAGAGGAGTGAGAACTGTCAGGGAGAAAAGATTGACCTGTTACAACCTCAAGCCTTGTACCCAAGCTCTCTCTAACACAACACAGATTAACAAGGGGAAAACACAGTCATTTGTTCTAGTTTCCTTTCTGTTTCTATAATAAAGTACTCTAAGCAACTTGGGGGGAAGAAAGGGTTTATTTGGCTTACACTTCCAGGTCGCAATCTGTCATTTGGGGAAATCAGGCCAGGAACTCAAAACTGGAACCAAAGGAATTCTGCTTCCTGTCCCTCTCACAGGCTCCTGTTTAGGACCACCTGCCTAGGGATGGCACTGCCCAGAGTGGGCTGGGCTGTGCTGCATCAATTTAGACAGTTCCCTCACAGACACGCCACAGTTCAGTCTGATCTAGGAGGTTCCCTCAAAGGAGGCTTTCCTCTTAGATGACTCTAAACTGTGTCAAGCTGATTGACAATGCTAAGTAGGACACCATTTACATGAGTGTAAGTTCCATATATTGTGGAGCTGAAGAAGCATGATTGGACAAAAGGGTGTGATCAGTTAAATAGATGGTGAATCAGGGAAGCCCTTCCTTCAGATTCCTCTCATTGTCTTCAGAGAGGAAGCTATTCCTTTCTGCTAGATACAGGGAGGAGGAATGCAGGCCCCTCAAGAATAAGACCCGAAGACCTATGTTCTGGGGAAGATCGCTATGTTTTATGGCCCACTTCACTGGGGAGGAAGTGAGGGTGTTCTTTCATCTCTTGATGGCCTGTTTCTGCTGGGTTTTTTTTTTTTTTTTTCCCCATGCTAAGGTACCATATTTTGGGGCAGTATGCTCGGAATCTTAGTGCTCTGTCAATTTTAGGAGACTGACAAGTTTTGTATGCATTTGAATCATGAATTCTCCCTTTCTCTTGCTTTGAAGCAAAAATGCAGTTTTTAGATTGCTGTAGGTTCAGTTCTCTTGTAAATACACTTTCTTCTATCTATACTTCAAATGGTAGTGTATTTTAAATTGCACAATTGTCTATTCAGACTAGAGAAACTAGCTTTCATTCCTTTGAAAACAAATAGCTTTTGTTTCTCTATTCCCCCCCCCCCCTAAAACCAGGAAAATCAATTATTTGGAGACCTAACCTACTATCTCCTAGCTGATGGCTCAGTAGTTAAGCATTTGGTGCCAGGATTTTGAAACTCAGCACTTTAGTCAACATTCTAATAGCTGCATTGTTGTGCTGCTTTTGTTACTGCAAAGGATTTCAATGGGTCCTATTCTGAGGCTCCATTCAAACCTTGAAACACATCTTTAAAATAGAAAGGGTCAAAATTGGGGTTGTTTGGGTTTGTGAATGAGTAGAATCAGTAGTTAAGCATTTGGTGCCAGGATTTTGAAACTCAGCACTTTAGTCAACATTCTAATAGCTGCATTGTTGTGCTGCTTTTGTTACTGCAAAGGATTTCAATGGGTCCTATTCTGAGGCTCCATTCAAACCTTGAAACACATCTTTAAAATAGAAAGGGTCAAAATTGGGGTTGTTTGGGTTTGTGAATGAGTAGAATCCATATTCCCTAAGTATATTTTGCAGTATTGCAGCTTTGGCTTTCTGCTGGCCCACCCCCAATGATTATGTCTTCTAATCCTTTTAAAATTGCACATACTGCTTATAATTCAATTGGAAAGGACGACCTAAAAGAATAAGGAGAAGGGGCTGGAGAGACGGCTCAGTGGTTAAGAGCACTGACTGCTGTTGCAGAGGACCCAGGTTTGAATCCCAGCACCCACATGGCAGCTGCGAACCGTCCTTAACTCCATCCAGTTCCAGGGGAATCTGACTCCCTCTTCTGACCTCCTCGGCATTGCACGACACAGATGCACTCACATGCAAACAATACATGCGTATACATAAAATAAAAATAATAAAATAAATTTTTAAAAAATGAGAAAATAAATGCTGTGAGTTGAGTTTAAACAAATGAAGTGTTAGGAAACTAGGAGAACTCTAATGGAGAAAAGCTGACAGTGTAAGGGTGAAATTTTAAGAGATTCGTCCTGCTGTGGAAACTGGCGCTGACTTTTCACTCCTATTCCAAGGAACAGAAGGGAAATCAGTACAAGTCATGAAGCAAACTAAATCACATATTTTTAAGTGAGCTATCTATGGAAGTATTATTCTCAACAAAATTATCTAATAAAATTATCCAAACTGAGCCATACCTTTTCAAAAGTTTGAGGACTTAAATTAACAAAAAGCAATTAAATCACTACGTTTCTCAACAAAGGCAGATCATAAAATACTTTTTCTTAGAAGCTGGGTGTGGGTGGCACACACTTTTAATCTAGCACTCCAGAGGCAGAAACAGGTAGCTCTCTCTGAGTTAGAAGCCGGCATGGACTGCATAGCAAGTTCTAGGACATGGACGGCTACATAGTGAGACTCTGTTTCAACAAAACAAAACATAAAAAGATACTTTTTGTTAGGTCCCAGCTCCAAATTAAATTTCACTAAAGATGATCCTGGATAGACTGCTCTTCCTTCTCATCCTCAAACCATTCATGCCCAATGGAATGAAAAGAACTTTCTTTCAATACAACCTCAATGTTAATTTGTAGGAAACTGAAAAGAAACCACACTATCTTTTGGGAGTCTCCCAAGAAAAATATCATCTTACTTTGTATTTTTTTTTACATGTTTAATGCCTCCTGCCTCCTATCCTCCCCTCTACTCCCTGTTGGCTTCCAGTTTGTATAGAGCTTTGCAAAGCACATTTATGATAGGTTTTGTTTTACTCTTTTTGCACTACAGTAGCTTTTTGGAAACAGGATCTAATCTCCCCAAGCGGAAGGTCTTTCTTTAGAGGCATAAGGGCTCATTTCTGTTGATTTTGTGAAAGTATAGGTATTCAAATGCCTTCTATTTTTAAACTAACAATATTGTTTATATGATTTTAATGTCTCAAATATATGCTTCATCTAATGCATGTTTGCTAATCTTGGAAGTAAAATTCTCTTTTTATAAAAAATATTTAATGTACAATCCGCTTGCATTTTTTTGTAAATGAAAGAAAAAGTTGGAAAGAGCACTCACTGATGTCTTGCTATATACAGACTCGTGAAAAACTATTCTCTCTTTGCAAGAATTTGCATATTTAAAATGTTATTTTTGTAAGAATTTGCAAGTTCCATTCAGAACAAAACTTGTCATTTCTAATCCCAAGCATGAACATGTGGAGTTTCAGCTCTTTCATTAGATTTGCCATTTTTACAGAGAAATGTCCCCATCTCTTGCAACATGTCTTATTTAGAGTACAAAACTAATATAAATCGATAAAAAACAGAGACTGATAAAATGTGTTTAAAAATCAATATAGTATTACATGTTTTCTTTGAGGGGTTTCAAAATATTAAATAATAGATTTCATCATATCTTCTAACAATAATGCTGTATCATCATCACTAAAATAAGGACAAAAATGAGGAATTAATCCAAGACTGCAGAATTAAGAATTTGTTTCCTCAGTGTATTCTGTATAGCCACATTACAGCAAACTAATATCTAGCATGCAACCCTTGGTGCTGTAATGAGTTTTGATTGGCCAAAATGCTTTTCCCACAATTACCTCTTCTACATTAAATTTGAAATGCAAATTAGAAAATAAAATTAATATGACAAGTGGGCTATTTGACGAATTTTTAAGTGAACGTTTTAAAGAAATATTTATCTTTGGGGTCTTGAGATGATTGTTTCGGAGTCTTATTTTGATTCTTCAAATGTCACTATAAAAAATAATGGGCATCCAGAAAAGATAAATCATAAATGCCTACCATTAGTATACTATGTTAACCTAATTTTTCTGTGTGAGGTTAATGGATATCCCACATGGCTAGTATTGGTTTCACTGACTTTTCGTACTTTTTGTGTCTATTGTTCTTTTATTAAGAGGAAACTCCAAGTACCATTACTATGGGATTCGTGTGAAACCAGATTCCCCTCTTAATCGTCTACAAGAAGATATGCAGTATATGGCGATGAGACAACAACCCATGCAGCAAAAGCAAAGGTAGATTCTTCAGTTATTGTTGATATTTCAGAGCTACACACATCTTAGTCCTTAGGGGTCCTTATTTCTGAACAAATGGAACAAACGGATGTGCAGAAATGTTGCTGCCATTGGCGTGCAATGGCACTATGGACATTTCACTAAGGACAGTGCTTAAAGGTGGTTTAGATTTTCAATTAAAAAAAAAAATAACATCCTTCAACCCTTTAAAGTTAAAGTGATGTCCCAAACTGTTCGCTCAGGGAAGTGACATGCAAAGCATAAGGTGTAGACTGAAGCAAATGTGACCTTAGAGAAACTTGTGTGTGCTGTTCTAGGGATCCTTCAAGTCATTCTTAAGTTGTATTTATTATTAGTATGTGGTGTGTGCATGCATGTGCATGTGCACACACATGTACATATGTATATATATATATGTGTGTGTGTATATGATGTGTTTGTGAGTGCAGGTGTCTAGCAGTTAGAAGACAACTTTCAGGAATTGATTCTTTCCTTCCACTATAGATTCATTCAAACTCAGGGCATGGGGCTTGCATAGCAAGCAGTTTTACATGCTTAACCAATCTAACTCATCCCAAGTTGTTCTTTTTGACCAAGTTTGAATTCGTACAGGATCTCTGGGACTTCTTACATTTTCTTGGAATCTAATTTTCACAAAGTATAATTGTGGATATTGGAGCTTTAAGAGATTTCATGTATTCATGGATGGATGGATACACCAATACATGGGAAGGCAGATGGATGATAGAATCATGTATTTCAGAATGAGAAAAATAAATACCTTTTTAGTCTCGATATAGTCCTGTGATAATTAAAGCATTAGCATACATTTTTTAAAGATAAATCTCACAAACGTTAAATGATTTTTACAGCCCATTATATTATTGTCAGGTCAAGGACCTTCCAGTCACTTATGACTGTATCACAATTTGAAGCAAATAAAAAATTTTAAACTCTTCCTCTTTGCCAATGTAACTTAGCTAAGACTTGTATTTATAATTGTTCTTTTCAATTGATGTTGTGGAAGTAGCTAGGAAAAAGGACACTTCTGGCTAGATTCTAATCTATTGATCTGGAGTGATTATTTGTATTGGTCAGATTTTCCCCATCCATATTAGTGTAGCATACAGCATTAGTTCTAAGACATTGTTATAGAAAGACAATATCACAGTAGTCTTTCCTCTAGTAGACAAACACTGACTGAAGTTCTACTGTGTACTAGGCCCTTAATGCAAGGACAGGACGTAGTCTCCAGCTTCGATAAAACAAGGTGTGTGGGGAATTAGGGATTAAAAGGTAATGTAACCCCTGTTGTGCCAAAATACACAGAACTTGATCAAAGAACTATAGAATACAGGGTAATTTAACAAACTGGAGAAGGGAGGATTTCCATGAGAAAGTGCTATTTGAGTAGGTACTAAGAGAAGAAAAAGAAATAAAGGACTATTTAGCCAAGGGGAAATATCAATATAAGCACATGAGGGTAAAGCCATGATGTCTTTGGTAATGGCCCATCTTGGTGAAGCTGTTGTCACAGAAGAATTGAAAGGGTGGTTGAGTATTTTTGTAAGAGATGCAATTTGAATAGTAGTTTGAGACACATACTATGGGATTTAGTTGTATATGAAGCTAATGAGTTTGTTCTTTCTGCAGAAGATAGCTTTAAAGCTATTAAGGCTTTGAAGCAAACAATGAAACTTTGATTTTTTTCTAGAGAGATGACTTTTTGATTTGGGGCAAGACATATTTAATGGGAAGAGAATGGAGGAAGGACTCTTGTTCAGTACTTTCAACATGATCACAGTAGCAAGTGTATGTGTTCTAACCTTAAGATTCAGCTCAAGGCTGGCTATCATAAAGTTTCTTGAGGATTTTAGATCTTTAACTCACAGATTCTCAATTTTGTTTTTAATTCCAATTTTTTTTAATCTATAAGAAGGAAAATGTATTAAAGAGGACTCGGGGAAAAGCCAAAATAAATCAGAGGGTAGAACCTAGAATGGTTGGCTATACAGTTTGTACGTTATAATAAACTATTGTTTTGATTAATTTTCCATTTAATAGAGCAGAATTTATGGCATTTATCTTCTGGTATGATCTCTGCCCCCATGCTTAGCAGCAATACACAGTGAGATAATGGTGAGATCCAGAAAAGCTTGTTAAAATACAGGTGATATGTAAGATTTTTAAAGTATTCTCGAATGGGGGCTAGTATTTAGTATTTCAGCATATTCAGATTGATTAAATACCTCACAATTTATCGATTGCATTGTTGCATCCACATCCTCCATAGTGTAAATTACATGTTTCACATGTTTTATAATGAAGAAGTCGGTATGTGTGGTGATTATTTTGATAATTTAAATTTTGATATTCAATTCGTAAATAAATTTGGAGTTACAGTAGTTATATGGATAATAATGATTTATTTTGCATGGATTTATACCTTGAACTCTTTTATGTAAGGAATCTAGATTGAAGATTTGATAGGATAGTGGAGAAAATTTCCACATATGTGTAAATCAGATAGCAATGGTACCATATGGAGCATAGCTGAGACTGGAAATGGTTAGAAAAGAGCTCCTCGATGCAAAACAGATGTGACAGAGCCCATCTATAGTTTCATGTGCATGAAAAGATGAATCCACCCTGAAACCCTTTACTTAAAATGAAGGAGCAGATTAGAGTCTGCTTGATTCACAGGCATTCATGGGATGTGACAGCTAGTGACAAGGCATTATAAATAGCCAAGGTCTTCTGTTTACTTTTGGCTTATACAGGGGTCTGTGAACATTTAGTGAAGGGACAAAGGGACTGAGGCACTAGCAGACCTTATGAGTGTCACTCTCCTGATTAGAGTTAGGGTAACAAAATGGAATAATTGCCTCATATAGAATGACACTATGGGTAATCAGAAAAGAGAAAAGGGTATAGTTTTTAAAATATCTTCCGTTGAAAATAAATGTTACATTTAAATAAGGCTGTCTCCAATTTTTAAGAGACTGCGCTAATTTGCTTACCTTTATTTAGGTAACATATAAATTAAATTATAAAAGAACAAAAAAGGAGATCAATTATTTATAAATCTAAAAACTGTAAAAATGTTTACTGCAGTTTATTTTTAACACTTAAAAGAAATGTATAAAAAACATTGGCACGTATACATTATTTATTCCATGTCTTTGTAGGCAAAGTGGTAGAATGGAGCCAGGTGCTTATGCCAATGTACATGACCATGCTTGGTCCCAGTTGCCATTCCCAAATCACATAACGCCAGTTGCATGTAGAATAAGTATATCACATCTAAAACATCATAGGAAGACAGAATGTTAGAAGGAAGAGATCACCCAGTGGAAAATGAAGTCAATAAAGAATCGATAACTTATCCATAATCATATGGCAACCTAGAAGAGAACTCGCCATCTTGTCTTCATTCTTGTAAGAATTCTGTCATCAAAGACAGAATGACTAGAGCAGAAACATACACTTACAACAAAAGTGTTACAGCCAAGTGTGATGGCTCATGCCTCCCTCCTCTTTCCTTCTTCCCTTTTCCTCTTCCTCTCTCTCTCTTCCTCTCCCTCTCACATGGGAGGTTGACACAAAAGGACTATTTCAACTTCAAGTACAACTTTGGCTACAGAGTGAGACGTTCTTTTAAAAAATGCATAGTAAATACAGGGAAAGTCACATTTTAATAAGCATCTTTTAATTAATGAGAAAACATGCTACTTATTACCCATTTACATGGTCTCTTGACAAGAGGAGGATTCTGTGAGCAAAATGAACCTTTGTGACTGTGGGGGAAGAAAGAGAGGTCTGGTAGAAAGACTCCTTTTTGCTTCAGATATGAGGGAGGAAATCCAAGAGTGTTTGTCATTAGGAGACCTTTCTTCATATAAGATGCTTAAAATAGTTGAATGAACTCTATATTTAGAAGTAGAAGGCAAAGATTTGAGCACAGATTTTTTGGTACTTCTGTAGGATGCAGGACTTCATCTCCATGAACCTTAGTTTCTTCAACTTCAAGTTGGAAATTAATAGACTACTTCATAGATCATTTGGCAGTTCAAGTGGAAAAAATGAAAGTTTACAGCTGGAAACCTTTGGGTGTTGTTCATCTTCTCATTATTATACTGTTACTCTGTAAGCACTATGAAAAATCTGATACTCTGCTGTTTTGGAGGAGAATGCAGCCTAGAAATGGAGCAGGTGTAACTTGTTTCTCTACACCTCTAGGCTAGTGGTTCCCAACTTTGATGAATAGTCACAGTTTATAGCTCCTTTCCTGGACCACCAATTCTTTGGGGTCATTACAGAGATAAACCTAGAGGACTAGTTAATTGAGACATGAGAGTGTAAGGGATCTTTAGTGGGAAGTGCTCTGTTAGCTGTGCATTTCACTTTGGGACACAAATGAGGAATTTTGACACTGACTACTGAAGTCTTTAGTATTCCGTGTGCTACTGCACGAGTTCCTGACATAATAATTGCATTTTTCACTGAAGTCAAGAAGAACATAAAGAACCACACCCCAAGAATTGTTGAACTATAATGATGCATGTAAAGTTTGATAATAAATAGTAACAGTCATGATCTAGTGTTCTCAGTATTTGTTGAACTCTAAAATGGCCTTTAATCTTGTTTGATATGTATAATCTCATCTGACAAGTATATTGTATTTTACTGATAAGAAAGTAGGTCTACTTAATTGTGCTTTATGGAGAGCAAGAATCTCACCAATCTGTTTTCCCTAGATAGAGCCTCAGGTACTTTTAGTTTTTGTTAACATCCTGACATCAAATGGAACGAGATTGTCATTCTATAAATGAAGGAGGTAGGGAGAGGTATCTCTTTAGGAACTGTGTAACAGAAAGGGCCTGCTGTAGATAACAGAAGTGGCATGCATACGTGCAAGAATATCACTATTCTAGATAGCTAACTGTATAGTACCTATGCTAAAGGGCACGTGAAGAGGCTCATAAATGATATCGGGAAATCATGCTTGCCTCTTTCAACATTATATCCTTAACACCTAGCAGAACACATTTGTTAAAGAAATGAATGATCCAGAGTATTCATTCTCATTTTAGACAATAGCTACCTCATTTGAATTTAATTTTTTTACTTTTCTTGCCTAAATAGAAATGTGAAACTAATGAATAGACAAATATTCTGAGCATTCCCAAGAAGAACTGAAGAAATAAAATCTTATTTTAATCAGCAAGGTTGATGTTAGAATTCACTTAAATGACTTGGAGATCAATTTAGTATGACATCAAAGACTTGTTTCCTATTCTGAAAGAATGGGTCTTTTCATGTCTCTTGGCTTTCTCTGACATCAAGTGATCTAAAGACTCTGGGACTATTTTTCCAGAGAATTACATGAAAGCAGTAGAAAATCCTAGCCTCTTGCTCTATAGTCATCTGGACATTATTGTTTGTTCATGAAATTCAAGCAATTTTTTACTTTCAGGAGTTATAAATAGAATAATGACCTACAATATCATTCTTACTTTGCTTTTTTTTTCTTGGGCAGTTTTCAACTGCTTTGAAAGAACTCTCATTTGGTATGTTCAAAATCTTTCCACTTGGTGCTGATCGTTGAAGTAATGGTAAATATATAATATTCTGCCTTCCATTGGACCACTTTAGTATCTGTGCTTGTGAGATTATTGACAGGATATTACTTTTACAGTAAGCACAGCTGCCCAACTCCTAAATAACAGCTACAGCTAACCTCATGGGGCAAGATTCCTAATAATTTTCCAAGTTTTCTGTGTTAGTGACAGGTTTCATGCATGCACTCAGCTATTAAAACATTAGAGTGTCTTTCATTTCTTAATCATTAACAACTTTAGCTCTGATTGCCCATGGAGTTGCAAGCTGTTAAAATGATCATTTACTTCTTACTAATTTAGAAACCAAGAGCTGTTTCTTCCATTAATGCAGTGTAGGTCTCTCCCATGAACATGCACAGCACAGAAGCCCCACGAATCACTATGGGAAAATTTAATCTATAAATAATTTGTAAAATAAATGGGTATACATTGGTGGGTAATAGTTTTAAATACTAAAGAGTTCAGTATTTCTAAAGGATTCAGTATAGAAGTTTGGTGATTTTATAGCCACTTTTGAAAGAGATATATCTTTGCTCTGGAAACTATTATTGAGTATGTTAAAGCTGTGATGAAATGCTTCTTCTACAAAACTTTTAAAAAAAATTTAAAAATGCTTTTCTGCATTTTATATTTTAATGTTTTTGGTGATTATTTAATGAAAAGTAAAGAGAAGGAAGAAGTCTTGTTTCATAAAAAACTTAAAAATTTTATATTCATATTTATCCTTTTAAACCTGTGCATGTGCAGTGTCACAGTCACAGTAAATGCTCACTAGGTGTTTCATACATCATTGACTTAATATCTATTAAGATCAATTGATAGTATGATAAAATGAAAAGTGTTATCTTGAGCATTGATTTAAAGATATTGTACATTTTAAATTAAGTTTATAGGGGAAAATCACAAATTTACAACTTCTGTTTTAGAAAGTGAGTGTTGTCTAATGTTGTTGCATATGTTTCTACAAAGTGGAAATAAAGGGATCTGTACTGAGATAAGAGGTTCCTGTGGGCTAGGTCTGTGCAAGCTACTTAGGAAATCACTCAGAAGGTGTAATACCAGCTGTTAGCTCTGTTCTTAAAGATTTCATTGAATGTGTATATACAGTTAGACCTTTTCATTTTGTGGAAAATTCCCATTATTGACTTGCAATAAAGTTTCAAAATGACCAATAGATCATCTGAAACCATTTCTTCTAGGAAGAATCAGCTGTCAAAACTATTTGTTAAGTAAGCCTCTGCTTAATATGATTGTCTTGACTCCCTGGTAAGCTTCCTTCTGCTCTGGGGAAGCCAAAACCGCTGAGGTAATTGTATGAATAGGATATTTTCCTTAGATGGAATCAAGGGAACCAAGAGAATGAACATCTAGACTTCCACAGTCCAAAATTTCTCACTTTGGGAATTTCCTCTAATCACTGACCCAATGGTAGACAATAATATACTATGATATGCCTCTTGGTGAGTACTATGTTAAATAAAGCAAGGAGAACAAAGGTTAGCACTACCAAGAAACTCTTTCATTCTTCCAGGCTCACACCATCCCTCTTGTCCAAGACCATCTTCCTGCCTTTCTTGAGGTCATTCCTCATGGCACAACCTCTCTGAGACTTTTTCCCCACACCTTTCAATTAGGTGGTACAGTGTAAGTTTCTGGCTTATATGGGTTCTATCGCAACCAAAGATAGATGCACATAGTACATCTTTGGCTATCTTTGAATCCACTATTCACCCTGCTGTCCTTATTTTATGATTATAATGAAAATGCTCATTTCCCAGTATTAACTATATGGTCTAGTTCACTTCTTTCTCTCTACTATGTAAGATTTTTTTCTAAGTGTTGATTTAAACAGTTTTTTTTTTTTTAGAATATACCAGTATATCTCTTCACATCTCCCCATAAGCTGGTATTGATACATTTTCTATCTCCCATATAATATGATATGATACAATACACCTCTAATTAGTATGTCCCACTCAGTAATATTATTAAACATAATCATGTGTTCATAATTCATTGTGATTTTGATTACAGATTTTGATTACATATTCCTTTCTTTTAGAAAATTTTATTGCCAGTAAATATTAGTGATCAACACTACCTTTCTAAAAAAGCAAACAAGCTTGCTTTTAGGCTACAGGCTTGCTAAGCCATGTGTGAAGGGAGACTGTGAAATGGCATGTATACTCTGAAAATGTAGAAGGCACATTATTTTCTTTCCAGGTTAAGTTTCACTTGCCCTTCATAAGATTCCATAAGACTGATGTGCTGTAGGACAAAAGAGCATGATGAAGAATAGCTAGGCAAAGTTATAGTCACCTCATAGCCCATATTAAAACTTAATAACTTTAAATTTATAGGAAATAATTTCAGAGTAAATTATTAACATACCTTTATCTACTTGTGTCAAAGATAATGTATTTAACCATGAAGAAGCATAGTTAAAGAATTTTATGCTGTTTTGTTAGTAATATGAAATTTTGTAGATGAAAAAGTTTAGCTAAAAATCAGGGTAAACCCTGAATGAATCAATGAGGACAAAAAATTTTCCTAAATTAAATAAGGATGAAATCATTCAATCTGCTAGCACAGGGTGGTCAAAATACTACTCCCCGCTTAAGTACATAATATACTTGCCACAAAAAGTATTTAGACTTCTCTAAAATGAATCTTCAAGGAGAAACAAAATCAGAAATGACATTCTTAGTACATCACAATTGTAATACTTTCCCCATCTCTGAATATGGCCCCACATTAAAAGAATATTCAGGTTTTCCCATTAAATAAATGACTAGGCTTGAGTTCTTTGATAACATTAGAAACTAGCAACCAATATTTTGTGCTAAAAGAGGTTATCGCTAAAAGTATAGTAGGGATGACATACTGCACTCTGTTTCATCTTCTGTTCTATGACTTTTGTTTTTGAATCATTTCTTCAGGCAAACTGAGCATTGTTTCTATGACATTCACCTGCTCCATTAACTTACTATCTTTTGTCAGAGTGCAGGCACCTTTGACTCTGTCCTTTTCACATATTAGGGACATTGACAATCTTAATGACTGCATATTTAATTATAGAGTTGAATTATTACATGTGTCAAATATCTGGATGATGAGACTACTCTTGTTTATAAATATAATTGAAAATGGCAGGAAATTGAAAACCAAATATAAAAATGTGAATGAAGTTATTGCTAGATAATAAACTTATTATGAACTTTATTTTTTGTATATTTTTCTGTTATTTTAAATTTCTGACATGAAGAAAAGTAAGTGCAATCTGAGCAAAAGAAAAATTGTAATCGCTGCATCCTTATTCTGTGTTTGCCTGTCAGGAGATTTGCCTAGGCGCTGGGTGGGGAGGGTGGTATATGTGATTTTTGGCTTCCAAGAAATAGATTCTTTTGCTACTAAAACACATTTTTCTCTATCTTTGCAATAAAGTAAATAAAGTTTAGAGCTAGGACCTAAAAACACAACTTTCCCTAACTTTAATTACTTTCACATGTGATTTTTTTTTTTTTTTTTTCCTCTTCTGGGACAAAGCCAAGGTCTTTTGCTTGCTAGGAAAGTGCTCTACCACTGAACTGAATCCCCACCCTGATTTTTTTTTTCTTTAATTAGGTAAAGTAGGATTATAGATGGGTTCTTACAGGTATTTTGTTGCATACTGATGCTTTTGGCCTTTGTATTTGCAAATGTTGATAAGAAGAAAAGGAAATGGATATGCTAAGATTCATAAGAGGCTTTAGGAAATGTGAAAAACAGTATGATAAGATTTGTAAGCTGATCTTATTTTAAAGATATTAATAATTGAAAGCCATCCATCAACAGTTCTTAGATGCCAGCAAATTCTTGAATCTTGATTCAGAATAAAGTTCCAGTGCATTTAAATTTTTTTTTCAACCAATGGCCAATAAGTTACTTTCAAATATGTACTAAAACTATAGGTGTGGATATCTTTGTTGAGGTTTTCCAAAGAAAAACCTTAAAATTCTTTCATTGTTACATAAATTTCTGCATTTTTCACAAATGGATCTTTTTCCTATTGCCCCTCCCCTCCCCCCTTTTCTTTTCACAATTGGAAAAAAATGTCTGCACTTAACTTCATGAAACTATTGAGAAAAGCATCAACTATCATGAGATGTTAACAAAGGTAGATTAAAAATGAATGTGTTGGAAGTTTGGGGTAGTGCAGAAAAGAAAAGAATAATTTGGTTTGTTTGTTTGTTTTTTCCTATCTAACATTTTTAGGTACAAGCCTATGCAGAAAGTGGATGGGGTTGCAGATGGTTTCACAGGAAGTGGTCAACAGACAGGCACATCTGTTGAACAAACTGTAATTGCCCAAAGTCAACATCATCAACAGTTTTTAGGTATGTTAAAGCATAATGCATATTAGTTGCTATTAGGATTTTGAAGAGAACGATAGTAGGCTTTTCTCCAAGTACAGTGTCTTCCGTATGTTAATTTCATATAGAAGGTGGGGATAAACGCTGAAACTGTGCACATTATATGATAGTTCTAGTTCATCTATATTTTCTTGTGCTCAAAAGAGATTTTAAAAATATACTGAGCTCTACAGAACCTTGATTACTTTTGCATTAAAAGTGCATTACTATGCGACTGTTTTCAAGAGTTTATATTACTATTAGCTCTTGTGATCAAAATTATGTTGTGTTACTTAGGTAATAATGTCAAATCGAAAGGATTCTCATTTCTTGTGTACAAAGTTTCATACAATACAGTCTTGGATTTAAAAAAATATAAAATTAAAAATAGTTTATTCTATTAAATGGATTACAGTGACTTCAAAACTTTTAGTTTTATAGATGGTATGCATTTTTTCTTTTTAATTTTTAAATTTATTTTTATGTTACATATATGAGTGTTTTGCCTGCAGTTTATATGTATCATGCAATATCCCTGGAGGCCAGGAGAGGGCATCAGATCCCCTGGAACTGGAGTTACAAATTAGTTAGCTGTCCATATAGTTCTGGAAACTGATCCTCAGTCCTCCGCAAGAGTAGCCAGTGTTCTTGACTGCTGAACTATCCAGCCCCAGTATACATGTTTCTTGTTATTGAAAGAATTAGGAAGTATACCTTAAACATTTAAATATTTCTGCAGTAGCCAAAGGAGAAAAAGTGGCAATTGAATTGACAACTCTCCTAGAAAGAAGTGTGTGTCGTTTCCAGACTCTAAGTAGGTCAAGATGAATAGATGCTATCAGAGAGAGAGAGAGTGAGCGGGGGGGTGGGGAGTTTATGTGCACTTGCCAACAAAGACAGAAATAAGGCATTCAGGTTGAAACAGCAACTGAACCTGAAAATGTTATGGCATCAATTCCTGAACTAAAGTCCTCAGATATAGTCTTGTGGAACACTGAGCTTTCAACAATATTATTTTTATTTTGCAGCTTTATTTTAGTTATAATATTAAAATGATAAAAGTATATTTTAGGTTTCCAAGAGCCTAAAAATAAAAAGTGTTCATTTTGATTTTGAATTTATGATAAGGCAGGTATCAAAATATATTAATTGTCTAGAGCTAATGAGAAAAGGAGAGACATATGTAAGTTACACCTTCATCAAGAGATGACTATATGATGTCTCTGTGCTCTGTGTAACAGCAAGTGCCATAGTTATCTGAATGCAAAAGAGGAATGGGGGAGGCAGGCACCAGGAAGAGCAGGTTGATGTAGGTGTCCAACTCAGAAGACCCAGTGCTATAGCTCTTGACACCATGTTCATGTTGCAAGAGATGATTTAGTTACAGGACAATATTATCCAGCACATCAAATTAATGTTGTTAACCTTAATGTTATTTTGAAGTGGTATTAATTCTATAAGATTTGCTTATGATTATGTAAAAGGTATGAACAAAATAAATTTAAGGTTATACTTATTTTTATGTAGTTAAATACCATAATAATAAAAATAACTAAAATTGCTACTGGCAAGCTCAAGATATTTTTATTTTACTAAAAACTTATCCAATTTCTACTTTGACTAGAATAAAACTTAGTCTATACAAAATTCACAAATATACCCCCTCTATTCTTATATGTTGAGGATGTTATTTAGTTTTACTTGAAAAATATTAATTTGAAAAGTCCTTGCTCTTTGGCCCTCTGATATCTAAATTTTCTTTCCTTTTTAGTCTTCTGAAAATTCCCCTCATTAATCTGTAATTGACACCATCCACAATAGCTTTTTTCTGTTGTGTTGTCATGGTAACAGATGCATCTCGAGCACTTCCAGAGTTTGGAGAAGTTGAAATCTCTTCTCTGCCAGATGGTACTACCTTTGAGGATATCAAGTCACTGCAGAGTCTTTATCGAGAGCACTGTGAGGTAAGGCTTTCAAAGATAGTATGAACACATGCTAAGTTTGCCAGACAACTTGTTAAAACAAAATAGTCAAGTTTCTTTTTTCCTCAGAGATCAGATGAAGTTAGTACTGATTCTTTTGAGCACTACTTTAAACACTAATAAAATCATTCTCTTTCTTGTCTCTGAGTGGAGAGGTGAGGAATGCGTGAAAGGAGAGTACATTCTATTCTCCAGTTCTTAAGCCTAGCTTTCTCTGAATCTTTCGATGCAGTTCTGCTATATATTTGTCCTACAGAAACACTTGCACATGGGTGGCACATCAAATATAGAAGGGGATTTGTTGCATTGTTCTTTATTTAGTGCAAGAGATTGACTATACCTTTGCTATCTAATAGGGAGATAGATAAAGTCTGATATAATCTATAAGTTAGACAGCCAGAGAACTGAAAACTCCAAATGTGGTAAAATGGAATGAGTTTCAGGATTTAATGTTGAAGTAAAAATCAAAATACAGAAAGGCTGTATGACATGTTACCATTCGAATAAAAAAGAACATATTCAAACATCTCATTAGAAGAAAACACAAAATGTTAATAGTACCCTTGTGAAGGACTCTGGGGGCCATGTGACAGGAGAGAAAGACTTGGTTTTTTAATGGACTTTTTGAATATCACAAATATGAATATCTGTGAAAAATAATGTCTAAATACGTGTAATGAAGCTCTTTTGGTCTTCTTTCCAGGGACCATTGAAATGCCTGTTTGGGGGGTTGGTTACTTAAGGCTTCTTGGTGTTTTTGATCCCTACTCTTCCTTCCCTGTCAGAATTGCTGACCAACTCTAGGAAGTAAGCTTGCTCCATGCATACATAATACTTTATCTGCTACTTACCTAGTAAAAAGGGGATAAAAGCTTGTGCAGGCTTTGCTCCAGTGCTTCTCTTTCTGAAAAGGATTTAGAATTTAAGTAGCTTTATAACAGGAATATTTCAACCTGCCAATAAAGGCAGCCCTAAAGATTACCCTTTGGTTTTTAGGAAGCCATCCCAACTCTTGACAATGCAGCAAAAAGTTGAAGCCTAAACATTCACAGATTTTTCTTTTCTTCCTTACTCCAGAAATAAGATTCCTTGAGTTAATCTGATTGTGTATTAAAGATGCTAGGTTATTAACAACCAAGGGCAAGTCCTCTCCTTATTCGTGTCTTGCATGCCAGAAGTGTTCTTCAACATGTCCTACTCATTTTCAACATTTTTGGCATGATACAAGCCGCATAGTAATCATTTCCCTTTGATCACTATGATTTTCCCAATAGTAGAAGATTCCTAGATTATCATCATAATTGAGAAAAATGTTTCTTTTTATAACTATTATCATTTTCAATAAAACTTATGTAAACATTGGTTTTCTCCCTTGGCACCTTCTGATACTATGAGAGCTGGTCTTTAGGGAGAAGGCTGCCAGGTCAATTACAGCTCAATTACTCCAAGTTCTCTGTCTGAAGACATATATGTCATGTCTTCAACAATAGGGTCTTAACTTCAAGTTCTATTTTTAAGTATCACTGGTTTTAGGCAGGTGTGGTAGTGTATACCTATAATTAAAGTTGTCTGGAGGCTGAAATGGGTATCAGAAGGTTGAGGTAAAATTGAACTATATATCTATACTTAGTATAAAAAAGCCAAATCCATCCAACCAACCAACCAGACAAACAAACAAACAAACATTCCACTGGTTTTGTTATTTAATGATCAGGTTCATACAAGTTGACACAGTTTTTTTTTTCTTTAACATATGGGTAAGTATTCTTACAGTGGTCTAGGATGTGTGTGAAGTATTAATAATTGCTTCACACATTTAGAGACATCTCTTGGAATATGCCTAAGTCACAATAAAAATGTAGCTCTAATAATTTACTTCTGGAGAAGGTTTTGATATTTGTTTGAGATGAGGGACAACTATGTTTCCTTTGTTTTCAGATATTATATTTTGTAATTTTTAGTGTTGCTGAGAAGTATTATAATTAGATTATTTCATTTTCAGTATCTGACAACTTGCAACATTCTCTACTAGTTCTCAGAATATTCCTTTGTACAGATGCTTAATGTTTGAATTAGTCTTAGAGTGTTTTTAACACCAGAACCCAGATCTGCACAGGTGGTACATACTCTAAAATTATGAAATTACAGTTTACTTTTTCCTAAAATACTCAAGTGGACTCAAGGTTGTCCCATTTCTCTGCTCTCTGTGGACTTTTATAGATCTTGATGGGCCCTTCTGTCTTAGTTCTTAGGTTCTGATGATATCAAACACATTATACTGACTTACATTGACTACACTTCTGTCTTTTAACATTCTGAGTGATCACAAAATCAAGTTTTCTTTGACTTTTTAAAAATATTGTATTTATTATTTTTATTTTATGTATATGAGTGTTTTGCCTGCACGTAAGTATACCACATGTGTGCAGTGCCCCACAGAGGCCAGAAGAGGGCATCAGACACTCTGAATCTGGAGTTACCTGGGTTCTCTGGAAGAACAGCAAGTGTTCTTACCTGCTGAACCATCTCTCCAGCCCCCTTTGAGCTTTTATCTGAAGGCTCTATTACAAAGTAGTTACTGTGGCAGGGTGAAATTAAATATGATCATCAAAAATTAATAGAGAAAGCACTAGTTTTTAACATTTTCAACAAAAGTAAAAGGCCCTTGATACACCTGGAAAATTGTTCTAGAAACTAAAATTAAGTTTAAACTGAAGATAATAACCCAAAGTTAGAAAGCGGAGTAATCTTAAGCTGCTCTCTAAAAAGAGTATACAGAAAACAGGATGATCTGATGGGGGACACAAATAACCAAATACGGTTGTGTACATATCCCTTTTCTGCCCAGAGAGGCATCAGCCTCAGAATGCCTCTTGATTCCAGCTTATGCATAACTTCTGTCTGACTGGGACCATCTTGGAACCCATGGTCAGCAGCCTTGGCAGAGTTAGGTCAGCCCTAAAACCCTCTTCCACACCTGAGCACCTTAATACTTTATATCTGCCTTTTGGATGACCCCTGGTTATCCATCAATTTGAACAAAGATGTGAGCTCAACTGGAGTTCGGTACCCTTCCTGGTCTGGAATAGGGAGAGTGGTATGATAGTTAGCTTTAATGGTCAACTTGATACAGTCTAAAATCACCTGGGAAGAGAGTCTAAATGAGGGTTAGTCTAGATCAGGTTAGCCTCTGGGCATACCTGTGGAGAGTCTCCTGATTACATTATATTAAATTAGATTTTAATAACATATTTAATACAAAATGTCAAACATAACATGGAAGCAATATAAATAAATGAATTACTTTCACATTTTAATAGGGTTTTTGAATGTTATGCCTTGTCATTTTTAAATAGAAGCAATATGAAAAATATGAACAAATTATTAGCTTTTCATTTCTTTTCCTGAGTCTTTGAAATGTTACATGTTATCAAGAAAATACAACATGTTAACTATATATCTATTATTTTAAAATGCTTTTTCTAGATTGAAAATGCAGTATGACACCCACCAAAAATGGAAACAATAAGAACAAAATAGTATTAATTCTTTTTTTGATCATTGATTTTCTATTCTGTAAGTTTCTAACATATAGTTGATGTATTAATGTATAAGCAATAAAAACTAAGTTCAGTTGATTACCTAATCCAGTCTGAAATACAATATTTTATGTTAACATGGAGACAATATAAGCATTAAGTACTTTCACACTTTTCTTTCTGTCTTTAAAATGCAGTCTGTTTTCACTTCAACAAGAAAACACTATATACAAATTATTAGTACTTATTTTCATTTCATTTTGGTAAGTTATTGAAATATAGTGGTGTTAACCTTTAAAATGTGATAAAAATTATTTGAATTTCCATTGTTTTAATGTCTCATTTCCACATGTAAATAATATAATTAGTAGTTACTTTATATCCTTTTTGTTTTACAAAGTCTTGAATATGAAGTGTGCCTTAGTACTTACACTACACCCCATTTTGGAGTGGCCAGGTTTCTAGGCTCAGAAGCATGGGGCTCCTGTGGATCATTGCAAACAGGCAGCAGTAGTGAAAAAGTCCTGTACATATAGAATGATTCCTATGGAGGAAATGTAGATGCGTAACAGAGAACGATTGATGGTAAAGTAAAAGAACAAGTGAAGTGAGGGAAGTGTAATCGTCTGACCATTTTGTTTTTTAGGCAATATTGGATGTTGTTGTGAATCTTCAGTTTAGCCTGATAGAAAAATTGTGGCAAACATTCTGGCGCTATTCTCCCTCAACTCCAACTGACGGCACTACCATTACTGAATCAAGGTTAGAATCAATATGCTTTCCCAATTCATTTTTGTGGCTGACTAAATATCACTACTAATAAATTAGAGATATGTATACCAGTTGTGAACCTTACCCAGTAACATTAAGTGACTAGAGTGATGACGTGACCATAATAGAAATAAACACGAACTGCTCTCTTGAGGTTTCAGGGTGTGTGTTTATAGCTCCCATTTTTATTGATTTGGGGGACTATGGTACAGCTGCTTTGTACTCATGGAATTACTATCCTATCTGCCTGTCAAACTGTAAGAAAATATTAATGTAATAGGCAATTCTGGGGGTATGTTTATATATATACATATTTATATATATACATATATGTCCAGCCATATGGCACCAGTGCAGTGGTGGTATAGTTCTAAACTCAATAATATTTGGTAAACTCTTTTTAAAGTCCATTTTCTTTTTTATCCTCATTTGCCATCTATTCATTTGCGACATTTATTTACACCAGCAATCTGAGTGAAATAGAAAGTCGACTTCCGAAAGCAAAGCTGATAACTCTGTGCAAACATGAGTCTATCCTGAAATGGATGTGTAACTGTGACCATGGGATGTACCAGGCTTTGGTGGAGATTCTCATCCCCGACGTCCTTAGACCCATTCCTAGTAAGTTAAATGCAGACAACTACGGATGCTTTTGTTCTCGTACATACCACCCAGTCATTTTGGGAATTGACATTGCAATCAGGAATGATCCTAATTTCATGTAAATTTGTCAAATAGAAAACATGCAACATAGAATATTGCATGAAAGGAGCCTAGAACAACACTATAGTGAAAGGGCAAAACGGGTTTTTAAATAGAAATAAACCAACCTAACAATATGGCACCCTCAATAAACTAACTTAAAAAAAACACTGCTAGATCAGTCAACCATGAAAAAAAAAATTGTACTCAAGGATAAAGACCCCTTCATATAGCAAAAAAAGATCATCTCTAATTGCAGGCCAATCCCTTTCATGGTTGCTTAGGATTTGAAATGAATTTATCCTGGTTTTCAGTAGAGTTGACGTCCCTTATTAAAGTATTTACTTTGTAATCTCTAGCATCATAAGAACTATAAATTCAGTTTCCATTAACAGTAATGGCTAACTAATATTTTGAGAGAAAAATCTATATAACTGCATAAGCATTGTATCCCCACTATGAAGCAAATGGGAATTGCATAGATAGCATAGATTACCTTTTTTAAGTGATCCTGCTTTTTACATATCTTGTAACAAACAAATGTTTTTTTCTGCAAGTATCAATGTAACTGCTACTAACAGATACTGTTAGAAACAGCTGGAACTACGTTTTTGTCTACATCTGTATGAGCACAGTAGTGACCTTAGGTTTTTAAAATATGGGACTGTTTTCCACTCTACACTGACACTAATAAAGTAAAGGCCGTGTTTTAGCTTGTGAAATTAGTTACTACGAATTTCAAATATGCTATTCACAGATGATTTCTGTTATGTTATTTTAGAGCATATGTAAATAGGGTTTAACAGAAGAAAAGGGGAAGATGTTAACATTTGTATGTTTATATTTTTCTAAATAAAATAGACATGGTGGAAGGTATAAATTGTTTCCTGTATTCCCTACCTTGAAGTAGGTGCTTACACACATTTTCATATAATGCCAATCAACCCACATAAATATATGGAGGAAGTAGTAAAACAAAAGAAATACCACTGACAGTGTCTCAAAACTTTATAAATTGCTAATGCATTTCACTCAGTGTCCACCAAGTTTCCTGACTAAAAACTGATGAAAAATGATATTGTCAAGGAAGATTTCGCTATGTAAATCTCCACTAGTTTATGTTCCAGAATTTGACGTTCCTTGTTACTTTCTTGCTCCCTGTGCTCTGAGTGATAATCTCTAGAGATGTTTATAAGAAGTTGCATAGGAGAGCTCATTAGCCTATGACATCTGGCCACCAAACATACAGTTTGTCTCATGAGATAAAAGAAGGGATATCAGTGAGTGCTTTCTCTTTTGAGGCGAGTCAACAGCATCCATATTCATTAAGCAATTCTGAAATCTCTTGCTTCTGTATCAGCATTGTAAGACTTTAACTTATGAACTTATAAATTCTCTAATTTAAATCATGCATCAATTTTAGTTGACTTTAAGCCTTAGAATTTTAAGTATATAATACACTTGTCTTTTGTCTTTTGAAATTTTTTATTTGAAAAACAACTTATTCTGTCAAGTATTTTGTCTTTACATTCAGCAAAAAACGGAATGATTTTATTTCTCTGAAATTACAAGATGCATTAATGTACCATCCTATAAAAGAAATTTGAATTTGAGTTCCCATCCTACAATGAGACTCAACAAAATAAAGCTTAACATGTAGATAGCGATCACCTGGTTAAATGCATTTTAATACTAATCTCGAGCAGATTGTGGCAGTTTGGCTTTGAAATCAATTTTAAATTCCAAGGCGTCCATTTATGAGTCTTTAGAAGTTGTCAGTCAATCTGCACAATTGTTACCTTATACCAATCCATACAGAGAGAGAAAACCATTGTATTTTCTTTAAATTGTATTTTCTTGCCTACCGATACTTCACTCTACCATTTTCTGTCCAGATGGGATTTCATTTTTTAGC